CAGCCTGCCTCAGCATCAGCCTGCCTCAGCCTCAGCCTCAGCCTCAGCCTGCTCAGCCTCAGCCTGCTTCAGCCTCAGCCTCAGTCTGCCTTCAGCCTCGGCCTCAGCCTCAGCCTGCCTCAGCCTCAGCCTGCATCAGCCTCAGCCTCAGCCTCAGCCTGCCTCAGCATCAGCCTGCCTCAGCCTCAGCCTCAGCCTGCCTCAGCCTCAGCCCCAGCCTGCTTCAGCCTCAGCCTCAGTCTGCCTTCAGCCTCGGCCTCAGCCTCAGCCTGCCTCAGCCTCAGCCTGCCTCAGCCTCAGCCTCAGCCTGCCTCTCACATTCAAAATGTGGCCCGGGAATGAAGTTCTGGGAACTCGAAGAACACGAAGTGGCCTACAGTTGGCTCCTGGCATTCAAAATCATGCCCAGGAATGGAGTTCTGGGAACTCGAAGACCACGAAGTGGCCTACAGTTGGCTCCGGGCATCCAAATGAAACCCTAATTGGGGGGGTGGAAGGGGGGTGGGATAAGGGGAAAAAAAAAAAAAAAAAGAATGGAGTTCCTGGAACTCGAAGAACACGAAGTGGCCTACAGTTGGCTCCGGGCATTCAAAATCATGCCCAGGAATGGAGTTCTGGGAACTCGAAGAGCACGAAGTGGCCTACAGTTGGCTCCGGGCATTCAGAATGTGGCCCGGGAATGGAGTTCTGGGACCTCGAAGACCACGAAATGTGTAACTGTTTGCTTAAAACGACTTCCGCGGATTCTCCCCGGATCCTGCCCGGACCCCCCTGGGGAGTCATGATGCTTTCTTTTGAAACCATTAGAAACCTATCAGTCTTCGCTGTTAGTAAATTATCCCGGCAAAAGCAACCTAACAGCGATGTGTAGGAGCATATCTGGAAGCATTCCCCTTAGATTCAGATGAAAATCCAGTTTTAGAATTCTGCTGTTCTCGCAGTCGTAGTCGCATTCGCGATGACAGTCGCAGTGGCAACGGCAGTCGCAGTCACAGCCTCAGCCTCAGCCTGCCTCAGCCTCAGCCTCAGCCTGCCTCAGCCTCAGCCTGCCTCAGCCTCAGCCTCAGCCTGCTTCAGCCGCAGCCTCAGTCTGCCTTCAGCCTCGGCCTCAGCCTCAGCCTGCCTCAGCCTCAGCCTGCATCAGCCTCAGCCTCAGCCTCAGCCTGCCTCAGCATCAGCCTGCCTCAGCCTCAGCCTCAGCCTCAGCCTGCCTCAGCCTCAGCCTCAGCCTGCTTCAACCTCAGCCTCAGTCTGCCTTCAGCCTCGGCCTCAGCCTCAGCCTGCCTCAGCCTCAGCCTGCATCAGCCTCAGCCTCAGCCTCAGCTGGTTCTGCTCCTCCCTGCCTCAGCCTCTCCTCAGCCTCAGCCTGCATCAGCCTCATCCCACATCTCAGCCTCACCTAAGAGCCTCAGCCTCAGCCTCAGCCGCCTCAGCCTCAGCCTCAGCCCAAGCCTGCTTCACAGCCTCACCCAGTCTGCTCAGCCTCAGCTCAGCCTCACCTGCCCATCACCTCAGCCTCAGCCTCCAGCCTCAGTCTCAGGCCGCAGCTCACCTCAGCCTCAGCCTCAGCCTGCCTCAGCATCAGCCTGCCTCACCCTCAGCCTCAGCCTGCCTCAGCCTCAGCCTCATCCTGCTTCAGCCTCAGCCTCAGTCTGCCTTCAGCCTCGGCCTCAGCCTCAGCCTGCCTCAGCCTCAGCCTGCCTCAGCCTCAGCATCAGCCTGCCTCAGCATTCAAAATGTGGCCCGGGGAATGGAGTTCTGGGAACTCGAAGAACACGAATTGGCCTACAGTTGGCTCCGGGCATTCAAAACCATGCCCAGGAATGGAGTTCTGGGAACTCGAAGACCACGAAATGGCCCTACAGTTGGCTCCGGAGCATTGAAATGTGGCGTCGGGGCAGCCGCCGGGCAGGCCCGCCGGGGCAGCCGGAACGCCGTCACCCTCCTCCTCCCCCCTCCTCCTCCTCCTCCGTCCTCCACCGCCTCCTCCCCACACTCCCTCCTCCTCCACCTCCTCCTCCTCCTCCTCCCCACCATCCTCCTGGTCGTACACACCCCTCCCTCCTACCCTCCTCACTACCTCCTCCACCTCCTCCTCCCTCCGCCTACCCTCCTCCTCCAAACACTCCGTCTCCTCCTCCTCCTCCTTGGTCGTCCTCTCCTGCTCATTCTCGTCCTCCTCCTCCTCCTCCTCCTCCTCCTCCTCCTCCTCCTCCTCCTGCTCGTTCTCCTTCTCCTGCTCCTCCTCCTCCTCGTGCTCGTCCTTGTCCTCCTGGTCTTGCTCGTCCTCCTCCTCCTCGTGCTCTTGCCCCTGATCCTCCTACAGTTGGCTCCGGGCAAAGAAGTGTGGCCCTGGAATGGAGTTCTGGGAACTCGAAGAGCACGAAGTGGCCTACAGTTGGCTCCAGGTGGCCCGGTAATGGAGTTCTGGGACCTCGAAGACCCCGAAGTGGCCTAATTTCAGTTGGCTCCGGGCATTGAAAATGTGGCTCGGGAATGGAGTTCTGGGAACTCGAAGAACACGAAGTGGCCTACAGTTGGCTCCGGGCATTCAAAATGTGGCCCGGGAATGGAGTTCTGGGAACTCGAAGAGCACGAAGTGGCCTACAGTTGGCTCCGGGCATTCAGAATGTGGCCCGGGGATGGAGTTCTGGGACCTCGAAGACCACGAAGTGTGCAACTGTTTGTTTAAAACGACTTCCGCGGATCCCTGTCAGGATGCCGCCCAGACCCCCATGGGGAGTCTCTTTTGACCCTATTAGAAACCTATCAGTCTTCGCTGTTAGGTAATGTCCCCATCAACATCTGCTGTTTACTATGACTAGTACTACTATTGTTGCCCCCCCCCTCCGAAAAAAAAACGCACCACCAACGCCACTGGACTGGGACTGCGGGGGCGCTCGCAGCATGCCGGCATGGGGGGCATCCTTCCAGGGTAGCTCCCTTGGGACGGGGGGCACAGCAACAAACGGCGTGTTTCCCCTCGTCCCCCCAACAACATGTGTTATTGTTTTGCCCCCCCCCCCACCCCACCCACCCATCATACCGCACCACCACCGCCATTGAACTGGGACTGCGGGGGCACTCTACAGCATTCTAACCCTTCGGACCCACCCCACAGGCGCCACCACGGGCGGCAGGGGCGGCATCCTTCCAGGGTCGCTCCCTCTCACGCCCTTCCTCCCTCTCCCCCTCCCTCTCTCCCTCCACTCGCTCGCCTCCCCTGCTCTCTCTCTCTCTCTCTCTCTTTCTTCTCTCGCTCTCTCTCTCTCTCTCTCTCTCTCTCTATATATATATAGATATATATACATCCCCCTCCCCTCTCTCTCCTCTCTCTCCTTTTTCTCTCTCTCTCTCTCTCTCTCTCTTTTCCTTTTTTCTCTCTCTCTCTCTCTCTCTCTCTCCCTCTCTCTCCCCCTATATATATATATATGTATATATGTATCCCTCTCTCTCTATCTCTCTTTGTTTCTCTCTCCCTCTCTTTCTCCTTCTCTCCATCTCAGCCCGCACACTCCAAAAGGGTCCCTCCTCTAATGTTCTGGGTCACGGTCTGATGCGGTTGTAGCATCACATCACCACGGAGCCCAAGAGAAGATACCCGTGACAGTCGATCCCTACTGAGGCGCAGTAGAGTCCTTAGCAGCACAATTGTCGAAATGGTCCCTCGACTTTGGGCCACTCGGCGGCACGGCCGATTGGCCGGAAGATCGAAACTTGACTTCTTCAGCGTCAAGAGCACAGCAGTCATGCCGAAGCGGTATGGTTTGGCACGGCATGGTGTTGCATAGTTCATTCGACGCACTGTCTGCGCGACATTGGAGTGGGGGCAGGCTTTGTCCCTGGTGCGGGAACGTGTTGTCTTCAAACCTACTTGAAAACCAACCGCCCAATCCAGCTCCTCCCCTGTTGTGCTTGGCCGTGCTTCACATATCATCCCGAATTTCCTGGGTCGGGTCACGGTCTGATGTGAATGTAACATTCCCAAATTAAATTCGAATTGCCAGAGATGGCTGCCAAACATGCCGCGGACGCATACAAACCACCATTTCAGATGCAATCGGAAGGTACGCTGTACCTCTCCATATACTGTGGGGCTTCCCAACCTTCACCAGCACCGACTTACACGGTGGGTGAGCCGAGCCCAAGCGCCCTACCCAATACAGAAAGGTGTCTGCCCACCCTTAAGGGCATTAGTGCAGCTACACCACAATCCTCCTCCGCCTCCGCCGCCTGCTTTCCCGACTCCCCAGAGATCACACAATGAGATGTCTACCATGAGCTGCCCCAGAGGTCCCGACCCCTTCCTTCCCAGGGGATTGGCCTTCGTCCCGCATCCATGTTTAATGGTTCTGGGCCCAATGACGGGCTTCAGAAGGTAAAATCGAGGAAGCACGTCCGCATTAAAAAGACACATCGTCGGAGGCTGAACGTTCGCGCGAAGAAGAAAAGTAGCACACGCGTTGACATAAAGAACACACGAACAGCTCACGCACAGCAAGAATTCTCCTCCTCCTGCTTCTCCGCCGCCGCCTGCTGTTCAAGCTGCGTGCTTTTGATGAACCCCTTTCCGGCCAGCCTTGCTGCCCCTCTCGTCTACACGTAGGAGTGACCTTGGGCAAGGATGGCCCTTGGTGCGCGGCTTCGGGGAGTCGCTGGGGGCCAAAATCCTAGCGCGCAGACAAGTGCTGGGACGACCCCAGCGGGCAGGCACCAAAGGTCACCGACGGCCTTGGGTCTGGGCCCGCACCGAAGGCCACTCTGGCGAAGAGTCGCTCGTACGCGCAGCCGACGGCCTTGCTGCCCCCAAAGCCATCGTGCTACCATAAAGAACCAATAATAAGCAACGAAGTGGCTGTTCTGGCCACGGCGGGCCTAGGCCACAAACAGGCTCCACTACGTAATTCTGAGGAACGGCCCGGCAACACGAATCCTCCCTGAGCCCAGAGCGGTCCTTACTTCAGCGTCTTGGCTGCACTTCCCGCCCCCCCTTCGGTCGCCTCGTCGACGGGTATCGAGACCCCGAACAGGGCCGCCAGGCGCGCCACGTCCCCCGCCGTGCCGCACGGCAGGGTCCCGGACAGGCCCCACACGTGCTGGGCCGAGATCACGCTGAGGGCCCCCTGAAAAGCGTCTGATTTGTTTCGCGATAAGGGCCGTTACCGGCCCTGGCCGCCCCCCATACACACCCCAGGTAACGTCACGCTTCGTGCTGACCTCCGAGGTGTCCCTGGCTTTTGCTGGACATTCCCAGACGGCGCCAGCGCGAAACGCAACGTCACCGGCCCCCCGCTCCCCTCCACCCCCCCGGTGACGCCCGCTATCTCCTGGGATTAAAAAACGCTCTCCTGCAGGGTCTCGGACGCGAGCGCCTGCAGGTGAAAAAGTATCAGCATAGGCAAAAACTTCAGGAGCTGCGCGCGGATTCCTCAGATCCGCGCTGGGCCCGCCCTCCTGGAGCGCGCCAGTGGCGGCGCCGGCGGCGCCGCCAGCGGGACACAGCGCCGACCCCAGAAGTCCGCGCAGACCTCGGAACGCTTATGCTTCTGCAGCTGTTACTCCTTCGGGCCTCGTGGAGCTCGTCAACGACGATGCGGCGCCAGTGGTGCCGATGGAGTACCAGCCACGACTCCACGCTGTGCAGCAGCGTGTAGGGCACTATGAGGGCCAGGGCGTCCATCCAGGGGGATTGCATCATCTGCGCCCAGCCCTTGCTGCAGGCGGCTGCGTAGACGTGCGCCCTCGTGCAGCTCTCGGGCCTGACGCCGCCCGGCCGCTCGGCGCCTCCTGGGACGTCCTCGCGGGCCTTCAGCTCGGCGGCGCCCACCGCGCTGCCGCGCTCCTCGCCGAAGCCGAAGCCCTCTGCCACGGCGGCCTGGCTGGGCTCGCCAGAGGCGGAGTTGACGGCGCCTTCAGTGAAGCATCGCTTCACCGACCCCCATCCCCGCCGGCGTGGCCTTGGCCCCTCTGGCCGACTTGCCCACCGCGGCAGGAATATACGATGCTGTTACCTTCGGATCTCACGGGGCCTATGCCCACCTTGGGGGGTGGCCTGCGGGGGTGGGATACAATGGCCCAATGGGGATGGGGATCGTTTAGACGATGTTGACCAGTGGGGTCGGAAACGAAGGACTCATCGGCCGCGAAAAAACGCACGTCCACAGCAGCGCCCAGCAGCTTCTTGAACTCGCGGAGCCACTGGCAGACCAGGTTGTCCGGCACGAACACCAAGGTCGCCCCGCACGGGGCCCGGCCTGCTCTGGCTGGCAGCTGCTCCGCGTAGTGAGCAGCGATGAGGGCTATTGCCTCGGCTCGCTTCGCCGCTCCCTCCCCTCGAGCTGGTGGCACCTCCTTCCGGGAACTCTCTGGAGGCATGCCCAGAACCAGGTGCCACCAGCTCGAGAGGGCGGGACAGCCACCCCCATAGCTGGTGGTATTCTCCCGCCCCTGCCTACTTAACAAGACTGTTTTTAGCGGGCAAGCTCCGCATCAGCAGAAGAACAAGAGACAGAATGAACATATACATAAACTGCCAGAGGCCCTCGCGGATTGTCTTGGGCCAGGCCCCCTCGGAGCCCGCCATGGGGCCAGCGCTGGAACCAAGAAATCCGCGCGGACTTCTGAGGCGATATGCTCATAACGTCCCTGTGCCTCTTCGAATCGGAGACGCCCACTGGGGGGGGGGCAACAGGACAAGAAATCCTGGCCGCATCGACGCTCGGCCCCGCCCTCGCAGGGGTCCGCCAGGACCTGACCGCGAGAGTTTCAGATCCAGGCTTGGACGAGGGCGAGCGAAGGCCGAACAATGGCCTGACCCATACGGTGAGGGCATTTGATATATATATATATATATATATATATATATATATATATATATATATAAAAAAAAAAAAAAAAAAAAAAAAAAAAAAAAAAAAAAAAAAAAAAAAAAAAAAAAAAAAAAAAACGATAATTCGTTTCACCATCAAGGCAACGAAGACTGTGAACTCCACCCTCCCTCGAGCACTGCAAATCACGACAGCATGGCTGCGCCGAAGCGTGAGATGGAGGGGGGCGACTGACCGTCGTCGAACCGCGCGCGTCCGCATGCGGTACTCTCCAGCTGAGCCTTGAAACAAAAAGGCAAGACCGCCTAGGAACACTCGTATGAGGAGCCCAGAGCCTGCAAGCCAGCGGAACACGAACTGGGGCTTGGTCATGGATACCGCTGCCGCCCTCATCCGATAGGGAATCCCCCAGGGACTGAAGCCTCCAGGGCACATTCCTGAACTGACGCCCCCACCGTAAGGGCCGAGCCTCAGCAAGAAGGAAGCGAAGACCAGACGATGGCCCAATCTGATCAGCAAAGGCCTGTGCCGCAGCATGGGGGCAGCAGTCGGCACGACGGGAGCGAGCCCCGAGGGGAAGGAGTCCAGGACCAGTTTTCCGTCCCGAGTCGATATGTGGACGGGCCCGGGCCCAAGGAGGGCCCCAGGGGGGGCCCGAAAACGCCGAAAGACGTCCTGGACCCGTTTCCCTCAGGAACAATTTGCCTTCATGGCGAGGCATAGATCCACAATGCCTGCCCCTTCTTCTCCTTTCTTCCTATTATTCGTATGTTTATGTTGCTGTGTGTGTGCCAGTCTTCTTGCTCATGCGAATACCATTTGCATGATTAGGAATGCCCTTATGAATCTGCATGGATGAAAAAAATGATGGTTCGCCCAGATGCTCTTCTGCATGCAGTTGGCAAACGTATGGAATGGATTACCCAAATCAGCAGTAGCAGTCGTAGTCGTAGTCGAAGTCGTAGTCGTAGACGTAGCCGTAGTCGTAGTCGTAGTAGCCGTAGTATCCGTCGTAGTAGTAGTAGTAGTAGTAGTAGTAGTAGTAGTAGTAGTAGTAGTAGTAGTAGTAGTGGTGGTAGTAGTAGTAGTCGTAGTAGTAGTAGTAGTAGTAGTAGTAGTCGTAGTAGTAGTAGTAGTAGTAGTAGTAGTAGTAGTAGTCGTAGTAGTAGTAGTAGTAGTAGTAGTAGCAGTAGCAGAAGTAGAAGTAGAAGTAGTAGTAGTAGTGGTAGTAGTAGCAGTAGTAGCAGCAGCAGAAGCAGAAATACTAATAGTAATAAGAGTTGTAGTCGTAGTAGTAGTAGTAGTAGTAGCAGCAGCAGCAGTAGTAGTAGTAGTGGTAGTAGTAGTAGTAGTTGTTGTGTTGTTGTAGTAGTAGTAGCAGCAGCAGTAGTAGTAGTAGTAGCAGCAGAAGCAGCAGGAGTAGTAGTAGTAGTAGTAGTAGTAGTAGTAGTAGTAGTAGTAGTAGTAGTAGTAGTAGTAGTAGTAGTAGTAGTGGTGATAATAGGGCCGCACATCGACTACGTGTCGCGCCAAACGTCACCTTCGTGTTCTCTTCCTGCCTACTGCATGTATATCGGCTGTATAGGAGGCCGAAAAAAACGTTTCAAGCGTCACCTTCGTCTCTATATATTTACATGCCAAACGACACCTTCGTGCACTATTCCTGTCTACTGCTTGCATAGCGTCTGCAGAAGGATGAAAACAACGAAAAGGACGCTTCACACGTGACCGTCGGGTGTCTTAGAGTTCTATTGAAATCCTAGTACATATCCTCTTGGTTTCCTAATGGGTTCTTTTTCGCACTGTTTTAAAAATGGTTTTCTAGTGTCTTCCTAGAGTGTTGCCTATTGTATTGCATTCCCAATGTTTGCCTGATGCATTCCTATTGTGTGCCTAGCGCAGTGCATTGTCATTGCATTCCTCCTGCATTTCGCTTGCATTCGCATCGCATTCCTATTGTAGCACATTTCCTATCGATTTCCTACTGTATTCGGATTGTACTCCTACTGTTCTCCTAGTGTACTCCTAGTGAACTCCTAATGTACTCCTACTGTACTCCGGTTGTACTCCGACTGCATCACGATTGTTTTGATACTGCAGTGTAATGGAACCCGAGCCCGAGCCCGAACACGAACCCTGACACTCCACCATTCATTCTCAGTAGGCACGACGGTGACGTGTGACCCGGGATATGGTAGTGGTAGTGGTAGTAGTGGTAGTAGTAGTAGTAGTAGTAGTAGCAGCAGCAGCAGCAGCAGCAGCAGTAGTAGTAGTAGTAGTAGTAGTAGTAGAAATAGTAGTAGTAGTAGTAGAAATAGTAGTAGTAGTAGTAGTAGCAGTAGTAGTAGTAAAGGTAGTAGTACTCGTCGTAGTAGTAGAAGTAGAAGTAGTAGTAGCAGTAGTGGTGGTGGTAGCAGTAGTAGTAATAGTAGTAGTAGTAGTAATAGTAGTAGTAGTAGTAGTAGTAGTAGTAGTAGTAGTAGTAGTAGTAGTAATAGTAGTAGTAGTGGCAGTGGTAACAGCAGCAGCAGTTGCTGTAGTAGTCGTCGTAGTAGTAGTAGTAGTAGTAGTAGTAGCAGCAGTAGTAGTAGTAATAGTAATAGTCGTAGTAGCAGAAGTAGTAGTAACAGCAGTAATCGTAGTAATAGTAGTAATAGTAGTAGTAGTAGTAGTCGTCGTAGAGTAGTCGTAGTAGTAGTAGTAGTAATAGTAGTAGTAATAGTCGTAGCAGTAATAGTAGTAGTAGTAGTAGTAGTAGTAGTAGTAGTAGTAGTAGTAGTAGTAGTAGTAGTAGTAGAAGTAGTCGTAGTACAGTTACATGTACCACCAGCAAAAATACAAATTGTAGTATTGCTTTTTGTGTTAGTAATGCTCTTGCGTGTGCTCGTATTACTATTATGTGTATTGGCACTCGCAGTCTTAGTCGTAGCGTGATTGTCATTATGACAACCTGTATGCGATTACGTACAGACAGGAACTTGTGTGTGACGTGTCGCGGCGGCGTCTCTAGCGACACGCTTTGCTTTGCGGGTGGATAGCGTGTCGCTCCGCTTTGCGGAACGGGAGGCTGGGAAAAGCTAGGAACGTCGATGCTTTGGGGCTGGGTCGTGGTCGGCGTGTCGCGCCAAAGCGTGGTGGGCCAGAATCGGCGGCGCGACACGCTAAGTACATGAGCATTCTCAATGTTGGTAAATTCAACGTGGGGTCCCCCTTGCCCTTTCCCCCAGGCTAGCCCGCGTCCTGTGCGTCAGACCGCAAGCGCAGCGGAAAGGGTGTCGGCCAGAGAGGCGCAGAAGGAGGCCAAGAACGAAGAAGAAGAAGAAGAAGACACCCCGAGACAAAGAAATCGGAGTATCTTCACTCGAGCTTGACCCATAAATCGGACGCATACTAACACAGATCAGGGCAGACGCCCCCAAAACATGAGGCCAATGCCGCCCGATCTGTCAACGGATCGCGCCGGCTCTGTACCGAGAAACGACCCGCCGCTGATCCACGCTCCTTCCTTCCATGTTTCCGTTTCCTCGACTGAAGCAGCCCCGTGGCCACTTCTTGGGGACCCCTCCCCCGTCTGCCAAGCGCAGGCCGCGTGTGAGTGAAGGCTGCCGGGGCCACGGCAAGCAGCGTCTTGCCGTAGCCCATCGCGTCTGCCAGGATGCCTCTGGAAGGGAGTCGAGGCTCCTGCGTCCTCTTCCGTCCTCCTCCTCCTCCTACTCTTCCTCCTCCTCCTCGTCCTCGCGTCCTCCTCCTCATCATCATCCTCCTCATCCGTCCTCCTCCTACTCATTTTTCCCTCCTCTTTCCTCATCCTCCTCCTCCTCCTCCTCCTCCTCCATCGCCTCCTGCTCCTCCTCCTCCTCCGCCTCCTCCTCTTCCTCCGCCTCCTCCTCCTCCGCCTCATGTTCCTCCTCCTCCTCCTCCGCCTCCTCCTCCGCCTCATTCTCCTCCTCCTCCTCCGCCTCCTGCTCCTTTTCTCCTCCTCCTATCCTCCTCCGCCCCTCTCATCATCATCTCTTCTTCTTCTTCTCTTCTTTACTAATCTTCCTAATATTAGAGTTATTATTACGAATAGTTTCCCTCCGCCTCCGCCTCCCCTCCTCTTCTCTCCCTCCTCTCTTCTCCTCCTCCACCTCCTCCACTTCCCTCCTCCTCTTCCTCCTCCTCTCCTCCTCTGCCTCCTCCTCCTCGCCGCCTCCTCCTCCTCCTTCTCCCTCTTCCTCCTCCTTCTATCCTCCTCCAATTCTCCTCTCCTCCTCCTCCTCCGCCTCCGGCCTCCGCCTCCGCCCTCCTCCTCCTCCTCCTCTCCTCCTCCTCCCTCCTCTCCTCCGCCTCCCCCTCCTCCTCCTCCTTCCTCCTTCCCCTCCTCCTTCTCCGCTCCTCTTCCCTCCGCCTCCTCCGCCTCATCCGCGTCCGCCTCTCCGCCTCCTCCCCCGCCTCCTCCTCCTCCTCCGCTCCTCCGCCGCCTCCTCCTCCGCCTCTCCTCATTCGCCTCCTCCTCTCCTCCCCTCCTCTCCTCCTCCTCCTCCTCCTCCTCCTCCTCCTCATCCTCCTCATCCTCTGCATCATCAACCTCGTCCTTCTTCCCCGCCGTTCCTCCTCATCATCCTCATCTTCCGTGTTCCCAACCCTTCACAACTGGATTCTCGTTTTGAACAGAGCAGCCGTCCCTCCTACTCCAGCCTAACTCCTCTTGCATCGTGTCTCCTGCCTGCACGCGTCCTGCGTCCGGCTTGCCACATACCTTGCGGCTCCACGGGGGCTGCCAACTGCGTAACTGTCGCAACTTCCGTGGACTCCTCGGAGCCCCAGCGGAGTGGGGGGACACGCACATCCAGTCGAGACCTCGCGACTCCACTGGGAGCTGCCAACTGCGCAACTGTCGCATCTTTCATGGGCTCCTCGGAGATCCAGCGGCGCGGGGGGAACACACGCACACATCCAGTCGAGACCTCTTCGGCGAAGCGTTCAAGGATACTGCAGACCCATCCATGTGTTCTAACATACGGAGGCCACGCGCTGGACACACATGCGGAGGCAAGCATACCTGACATAGCGGACCGAGCGCTGGAAAACATGCGGCCACGTGTGCATACAGCTATCGCCCAGGCCCGCCGCGTCACGTATCCAGCTTCCTGGTGTTCCTCCTTCTCCTCTCTCCTCCTCCGCCTCCTGCTGTGCCCAGCCTTGTTAGGCAACTTGCAAGCGGGTGACAGGAGCTCCGCGCGACCCCAGGGCCCAAGGACCCCTGGACGGAGAGCCACTGAATCTCGAGCCGCCTCAGTGTAAACACGCTCTGGGTCTGAGAGCGCGAGCGAGGACCAAGCGATCGTATAAGAGCACCTGGCGAACGTGCTCGGCACCCTGGAGAGAACTTCTGCGCCGCCAGATTAGGCAGTATGTCCATATCCACTGCCGCGGGGTCGTGTCTCCTCGAGATCCCGAGGGCACGACTGAGGAGCGGTGGGTGTGGACACGCTCCAGCGGTGGAACTCCTGAGAGGACACCAACCGAGGGTCGAAGAGCGCGACCGACTCGACAAAGCTCGGGGCCGGCCGACCAACTGGGCGACAGGCCATCAGCGCAGATGCAATCGGCAAAACGTCTCAGTAGCAGCGAACTGCGAGATCCGAGGGGCAACCTTCCGAGGGCCAGCTCAGGGGTGGGAAACATCGAGCTGGAATCGGCGATACATCGCCGATAGATCGGCGACAGGCCCCCGTTGGCGAATCTGCGCGTTCCTGCAAGATGTGGGGCTATGAGGCCCCTTCGGCGATGAATGGGCGACTGGGGGTCGATGCATCCCACCCTGACCCTATCCCCCGTGACGTTGCTCCTGACTGCAAGCCCCGCCCCCAACACGCCTCCGCAGAGCGAGAAGGAAAGCCGGAGCTGGAAGTCGATGCCGCGGTGCGTGGAGAAGCGGCAGTCTGGGAGGACGGGGCACCCTTCTCGGCCATGCCACCACGCTGCCACAACTGTGCATTGCTGGCGTTGTAGCCGATCACTCCGCATCCAGTGAAACGCGAAAGGACAGGAGCTGATCTATATGTGTACATATACACAAACATACATGGGCGATTGAGAAAACTCTTATGGACAGGTGCACACAACTCGCAGCTTCTGCAGGCTCAGCTCAGGCTTGGCTATGCAAGTGCACATGCAAGTCACATCTTCTCTGTCCCACGGAAACGCTCAGCCTTCGACAAAAACGAAGATGCAAGCAACAATTGCCGCCACGACGCTCCCGATTGTGATCAAAAGCCTCGCCACGCTCATCGCATGCCACACCGAATCCTGGTGCACTCGGGACCCCCGCCCAGCGAGTTGCCGCAACCAATCATGAGGGGCAACGATAGGGAGGAACTGGCATAGAAGAAACATCCACCTGGCATCGGCGGTACATTGCCGATAGATCGGCGATAGGCCCCCAGTAGCGAATCCGCACGTTCCTGGGCAGGTTGGGGCCATCAGAGCCCTATCGGCGATCCATGGGCGATTGGGGGTCGATGCATCCCCCCCCTATGACCGTGCGATTGGGGGTCGATGCATCCCCCCCCTATGCCCGTCCCCTCCTATCGTTGCCCCTGAAATCACCCAGTGCAAGTCAGATCTCGAATGTTGTTCCCTCTACGGCTCTCCGGGGCTTCTGCGCGGCGCTCACCGGACAGGGGCTGGTAGGAGCTCCTGGATGCTCCCCTGCACACCGCTGGACCGCTCACGCCATGGGCGGTGCTGGCGCCCGCGGGCGACGGGCCCCAGCACGTTGGGGGAGAGACCCGCCCCCCGCTGCGAGCCTCAGGAAAGATCGCGCGAGTGCGCGGAGATTCCTTCCTCGACTGATTCTTTCACGAGCCGAGATCGCCTGAGGTTTCGCTCGCTCTGCCGGTGCTGACCCGAATGTCCCGGAGGCGGTGCGAGCGTGCGGAGACTCCTGCTTCACACGGCCACCCCCCCACCCCCCCGGTTCTACCAGCCCCTGCCTCGGCTCGGAGCGAACAACCAGGGGGGGATCGCAGAAGGGCGGGGTCCGCGGATCCACTCGCGGAACTAGCTTTCCTGGCAGGTCCAGGCACCAGATAAGCGGGGGGAGCGTCCCCCCACCCCCTGGTTCCACCAGCCCCTGCCTCGGCTCGGAGCGGACGTCAAGGGGGGACCGCAGAAGGGCGGGGTCCGCGGATCCGCGGATCCGCGCGCGGAGCGCGTGTTTTCCTGGCGGGTCCAGGCACCAAATAATCGGGGGGACCGCCGGGTGGCGGGGCCAAGACAGGCTGCCGCAGACTTCGTCACCCCGCCCCCCCGACCCCCTGCGGCTGCATTTCAAAGTGGCCCCGGGCAAGAGTGGCCGTTGGTACGCGGCTTGCCGACCGTATCGCGCGCTGCGGTAATAGTGGCCTGCGTGCTTGGGTTTGGTCGCCCCGCGCCCTCTGGAAGCCGCGCACCACAGGTCCCTCCAGCAAAGGGTCACTCTTACGTGCAGACCCCCCCCCCCCCTTTCGTTCGACCCGGCCGTCTGCTTTCGTTCTAAATCAAGGGGCGCGCCAGGGGAAGGCAGGCAGTAAGAAAGGAATGAGCAGGGAAGGTACCAAGATGAGAAGGGAGCAGAAGGGAGGCGAAGGCTGGAGAGGATGAGGAAAGCACGGCTACGAGGATGGACTGCGGAGATGGAAGACAGAAAACGGCATAAAGCATAAACATACACTTGCGGAGTTCGAGGCGGATCTGGTGTCGGCGCTAAAGGAAAAGAGAGAAGAGAAGAGAAGAGAAGAGAAGAGAAGAGAAGAGAAGAGAAGAGAAGAGAAGAGAAGAGAAGAGAAGAGAAGAGAAGAGAAGAGAAGAGAAGAGAAGAGAAGAGAAGAGAAGAGAAGAGAAGAGAAGAGAAGAGAAGAGAAGAGAAGAGAAGAGAAGAGAAGAGAAGAGAAGAGAAGAGAAGAGAAGAGAGAGAAGAGAAGAGAAGAGAAGAGAAGAGAAGAGAAGAGAAGAGAAGAGAAGAGAAGAGAAGAGAAGAGAAGAGAAGAGAAGAGAAGAGAAGAGAAGAGAAGAGAAGAGAAGAGAAGAGAAGAGAAGAGAAGAGAAGAGAAGAGAAGAGAAGAGAAGAGAAGAGAAGAGAAGAGAAGAGAAGAGAAGAGAAGAGAAGAGAAGAGAAGAGAAGAGAAGAGACGATAAGAGAAGAGAAGAGCAGAGCAGAGCAGAGCAGAGACGAGAAGAGCAGAGCAGAGAAGAGAGGAGAAGAGAAGAGACGAGAAGAGGAGAGAAGAGAAGAGGAGAGAGGAGAAGTGAAGAGCAGAGGAGAGAAGAGAAGAGAAGGAAAGAGAAGAGAAGGGAAGGGAAGAGAAGAGAAGAGAAGAGGAGGGAAGGGCTGCGGGCAAGCTTCCCCCCTCTAGCAGGAACAAGAGCCACCCTTCCACCCGTGTGGCGCGCGGATCCTTCGCAGCCCCGCTCGACGACTAGCTCGTCGTCGGTGCCGGCCTCCTCCGCAGCAAGAGCGCGCGGGACAGCAGAGACCCTCAACGAAGGTACCAGCAGGTACTGTCTGGTAGCTGGCGTGCAATCGGGAAGTTAGCTGCCGAGTACGGAGGGAATGAGTGATCGTTGGCGGTGATCTGGGTTCGCGATGTGTTCGGACGTGGTCATGCCTCTACTTGCCTTGCAAGGCTCCTACTGCTGAGCTGAAGTACTGCACAACTTGGGAAGAAACTGTGCCTCCTCATCGTCTTCACTCTCAGTATGTCCCGCACCACCATCATGCACAATTAGCATCTTAATCATCATCAGCATCATCATCACCACTATCATCATCAGCATCATCACTATCATCATCAACCTTGTCGTTGTCGTCGTCTTCCCTCCTGCCCCTCACCCTGAGGAGGATCCGTGGGAATCTGAAAAAACTCAGGCTTGATTCGCGCCGCGTCGACGCGGCGGCGACCCCTGCGCGAGAACAAGGTTGAACGTTGCCCAGTGGCCCGGAATTGGCCGATACAGCGTGACAGGATCATAGGGACGCGCGGTAAGGATGCAGCAACGCTTCCCCACCTCGGCAGCCATTTGCCTCAGAGGCCCCACAGAGGGCCGCGCTAGCAGCACACTCTGCAATGTACACCAGCGCTGAGTCTAGGAGAAAGCCAGTGAGAGTTCAAGGTTGAACGGTGCCAGTGGCCCGGAATTGGCCGATCCGGCCGTGACAGAATCACGGGGACGCGCGGTAAGGGTGTGAGCACCTGGGACGCCCCAGCTGAGGCCTCTCGGGAGAAAATGGCCAGCGATAATGGCTAAAACAGGGCCGAAGACGGAAGGATGAATGGGTGCCCTTGGCGATGGGCGAAGCACAACTACATAAACATAAAATGTTGAAGGTCCGCGCAGATGTACTCGAACGGCGCGTTCAACAAAAAACAAGCACACCAAAAAAGAGCAGTAAGCTGGGCACCTCGTGATCACAGGAAGGAAGCCGAGCGAGCGAGCACAAGGAGAGGAGATCCCGAGAGCCCCAGGTACATCTTCTCGTTCCCCTCGCCTCCACTCCGCGGAGGGCGCGCCTTCGACAGCATCCAGTGCAGAGATCTGCGCTGCCTCTCGGTGAGCTCCACGCCCAGCCCGGGCCAGATGGGAACCTTGTGCGGGCGGGGCTGCGCTGGGGGAAGGGGGAGGAGGAAGGAGGACGAGGAGTCGAAGGGGGAGGAGGGTCATGGGATAGGGTAGGAGCTGGGGGCGGCGTCCTCTACAGCCGTTCGACTGATTACAGCAGTTGCAGTGCGGCGTTCCGATGGTTCCCTGATGGTGTTCCAACGGTTTTCCTACGTGCGTCATTACTGTGTTGACCTGTGCTTCGACGATGTACCGATGGCTTCCCTGCGTTGACCCGACTGATGTTCTATGGTGCCCCAATATGTCCTGGTCGGCTTTGTCCATGGTGTCCCGATACCGTCAGCCGAGATGCACAGGACGACGCCACCGACGAGCGTTGTTTGAATGGACTTGGAATACCTCGCAGCGCCGAGCAGAAAGACGAGACTAAAACCGAAAATGTGCACAAAGGATACAAACCAACGTTCAACGAATTGGCAATGCCATATGAAGTGCAAGTCTGAAGGAAATTCAAATAGAGAAATGCCTGGAGGATGATGAGAAGATGCATAGTATCAACGGAAGGAGGAAAAGGTTGCCATACAATAAGAACAACAAATCTGAGTGCTAGGAGTGATTGCCCCGACCCTCCCCTACCCAAACACCTTGCCTGCAGTTGGCGAGTCACACCAGTAGAGTGCTCAAGGCTGTAGTGAAAACTAGCTTGGACTGCCGCGCTTCGGGCTTTTCCACGGGAGGCTCCGACGCAACCATCCGTGGCCCCGACGACAACAGAGCTCCGCAGAAGGACCGCCTCCGATCCCTTGGGACACTCGACCGTCAGAGCAAGGTCGAGCAGGCACCTCGCCCGGGCGCGAATCGAATTCGACGTTATCCCTTGCGATCGGAGGCAAACGCGAAGCCTCAACAGGGAGCAAGCTCGAAACATCCAGAGACTGTCTGCAGACCAAACTCATGTACATCTTGCACGTTGCGTGGAAAAGCAAGACGAACTGGCACGGGCACATGCCTTCCCAGCCCGCCGCGGGCGGAATATCACTCGGATCCCTCTCTCGCAGCTCTGCCGGCATCAACGCCACCGTACTCGAAGGTGCACGACGGAGGACACTCAGCGGTGCGTTGCTTCAGAGACAGCGTTGTTTCTGGCAGGGATTGCTTGCCTCTGCGCCGTGCTGCGTAAAAATGCTTCGCGTCTTCCCAGGCAAGAGCGAGGTGGTCCGCTGCCGCCGTGGCCCACCGAATTTCGCAACGCACCGACCGCCATACCTGGACTGACGAGCCAGCCTGGAGTGCCAGGCACCTCGAGAGCACTAACGCGCGCGGCGGCCGCTCTGCCTCGTGTCCCACTGCCTCCAAGAGCTCGAGCATCGAGAGCTCTGGGCCAGGCGCACCTGAAGGAACGGGCCCCGGGCCCGACGCCCCCATCGAACTCCAGCACCGCCGCCCGAGCGAGCGGCAGAAGAAGCGGGGGACGATGGGCACGAACGGCACAAGAAAAGAACAGCCCTGGACGCGCTGGGCGAGGTCGGCTCTCTGCCTCGGGGCAGCGCGGACGCAGCGGCAGGGCCGCGCACGGGACTCCGAGGTCCACGCAGGCCCTCCGAACCGCGCGGCCCCCGCGGGGGCCTCAAGGCTCGGCCTCGAGGAGACGGGCCCTGGGCCCCGGGGCCACTCCCCGGGAGAAGCCTGGCACCCCGAGCTCGTTTGGTTGGCAGGCCTGGGCCGGGGGGAGGAGGAGGAGGAGGAGGAGGAGGAGGCGGAGGAGGAGGAGGAGGAGGAGGAGGAGGAGGAGGAGGAGAAGGAGGGGGAGGGGGGGGGGGAGGAGGGGGAGGAGGAGGAGGATGGAGGAGGAGGAGGAGGAGGAGGGGGGGAGGGAGGGGAGGAGGAGGAGGAGGAGGAGGAGGAGGAGGAGGAGGAGGAGGACCCCTTGCCCTCGGGGCATGCTGGCTGCATGGCGAACGACAGGCGTGCCAGGGCGCTGCAGCCGTCAGACGCGGGCGGCCGAGGGAGCCGCGGTGTCGTCGGCGTTGCTCAGGAGGGGCCGGGCCAGCGGCAGCTCGGGCCTCCGGGGGAGCAGCGCAGGCGCCGAGAGGGGAGGCCCGAGGCTGGAGTGGGAGAGTGCTCGGGTCGGGCGAAAGGGGGGGATAGCAAAGGGGGGGTTTGAGAATCAGCTCACGTAGATAATTTTCCCGGCGCCTCCCGGCGCTGGAGGCGGCCATGTATCGAGGATTGGGCCCCTCGGTGGGGCCGAAACCAGCTACATGCAGCAAATTCTGTAACCCCCCCTTTCCCAATCCCCCCCTTTCGCCCGGCCCGAAGTGCGCAGGGGTGGAGGGAGGCTGGCGGGAAGGAGGGTGCACGCGGTCGAGGGGGGAAGAGCACAGCTGGAGGGAGGTGGGCAGTCCCTGTTCCGGGCTTGTCTCGGATCGAACGGGCCGTGGCGTCGCTGCCCTGGGGGAGGAATAGCCCACCACCGGCTGGCAGATGCTATGTGCCCGATCGCGGGGAGGACCGCGCCAGGAGCCCACAAAAAAGCCTGGACAATGTGCGAGAGAGAAAGGAAGAAAGAAAGAAAGAAAGAAAGAAAGAAAGAAAGAAAGGATCAACGACAATGAATACAAAAGAATGCAAAGCATAAGGAAAAGAACAAGAGGAAGAAGAAGAAGCACCAAAGGGGGGGGCGGGGAACGCAACGCACTAAGGGCGAGCTCACAGGAACTCAAACACCGAATGGCACTCCACGCCGAGCGGCGGGAGAGGGGGCGGGGAGGCCAACATGCCCGCAAGGCGGAGAGGCGCTCTCACAAACCCGCCGCTGCCTCACCCTCCCGCCGACGAGCCGACAAATAGAAAAGAGTATGAGAGGGACAGGGAAATGGAGGAGAGGCCTACCGAGTGGACTTGCGCATGGGTCTTCACACACCATGGGAGTACATACGCGTACGATACAGGCGTTCTTCGATGTTGAAGATGGCTATGATTGCTGAGAACTGTCCTGCAAGGCTCATGGTGCCACCAATCATCCAACGAAACAAATACAGCACAACCCATTGATTCAATGCTAGCCGCCGGCGTGAGCCTAGCATCTCTCGCAGTGCTGCCTTGCCCACCGGCCCTGTTATGAGTTCCCGTAGCATCACAATATTCACTCCGGGGGAGCGCGGGCGAAGGGTACGCAGGAAGAGCGACATTGAGACTCCGCACGAGCAGGGGCAGGGCCGGAGGAGGTGCACAGAGAAAGGGCAAGAATTGTGAAGGGCATCTTGCGCACAGGAGGGTGGGGGCAAAAATGGTGACACAGATGGTTCCCCAGATGGTTCCCCAAATGGTCGCCCGAAAAAAAAAGGTCGCCCAAATGGTCGCCCAAATGGTCGCCCCCCAAAAAATGGTCGCACAAATGGTTCCCCAAATGGTTGCCCGCTAAAAGAGCCTTTGGAAAAAGGAGGCAAAAATGCATACCTCCGCAAGTAGGACAGTTGACGTCGGCGAAGGGGCCAAGACATGCATCCTACCTGGGTGATGCCAACGCGCGCAACGCAGCCGCCACTTCTGCTTGAAACCACAATCGCCGCTAAGTGAAACTGTCGCGTAGGCACGCATGCGCACAATTGGTCCTGCATCGGGATGGCGCTCTCGTCTGAACGCGCCGTGCCCATGGTCAGACCCGCGGGTGCTTGACGTAGGCGTTGTGGCAAGGACGTCCCCGTGTTCCACTTCTGGGTTTCTCATGTGCGTTTCCCCACGTTCCTTTTCCAACGCGTTTCACTAGTCTTGTGAGCCGTTGTCGTTGCATTACCGTGCAGTCTACAACCCCTTTTCCTCCGTTTCCTCGGTCCTCCTCCTCGCGCCTCGTGCGTCTCATCACCGCCTCTCATTTCAGCAATTGGTTGCTCGAAGCTCGGCTGCCGCTGTCTACGTGCCCTCCTATTGCGCCGTCCCCTTTCATGTCACCCCCCCGCCCCACGTCTTTATGCTAGTAGTCGTCGTGTTCGTCGCCCTCATATTTGCACCACGCCTCTAAGAGGCCCCGCGAGCCCACGAGGCCCCCGCGAGGCTCCCAAGAGCCCCCACAAGGCCCCCAAGAGGCCCTCGGGTTGGTCGAAGTTCGATTGAGGTCGAAGGGGGTTCGTGCTTGCCGACAATGCACGTGCCAGATATCGCCTCCGCCCCCCCCTCCAAGCCACCTGACACCCCCTAGGAGCCCAATAATTTAACAACAGCGCCACTGAAACTACAAGCTCAGTGCCCCCCCCCCCCGAAAAAAAAACAATGTCGATGTGGCTTCCTAGATGCATGTCTTTAGGGGGTTGTAGTTCTTGAGGGCACGAGGGGTCCATGAAGCCGATTACTGGTCCCCCCTCCCCATCTCTGATCCTCCTCCGTCGCCGTTTTGGCCTTGGCGCAACCCTTTGTTGTTTCCTGCATTTTGCAGGCTTGCTGCCGCGCCCATCCAGACAGCACCGACGCCGCATGGACGAGTGGTCGGCTGCTGGACTGGAGGAGCTCGGGCTCCTCGAGCCCGCCAGTGAGAGCAGAGACTGGGCGGAGGCAGCAGCGTTGATCGACGACGTGGCCGCAGCTTAGGACGAATGGTCAGCCGCTGCTGAACAGTTGGACCACGGCGATGACGCATCTGAGCACGGTGTCGCTGCTGCCCCGCCTGGACATGTCGAAAGGGCTTCGTCAGATGCATCCCAGGCCAGTCGGGACCTTGCGAACCAGGGTTTCGCTGTGACGACCACGACTGGCGCAGCGGAATGGTGTTCTGCAGTTGGCCGCCACCTTCTTGAGAATGATGCTGACAAAGCTATATATGTCGATGAGACCTCTGACGTATCTTCATTCGTGTCTGCCCTCCTGGATCCAGACCACAAGCATCGAGTGTCATCCAATGCAGCTGACGCTGATGGGAGCGGCGTCGACAAGAGAACGATGAAGACGACAAAACACATATTGTCGAGTTGCTTAGTGTTGTGCCAGCGCGGGCAGGCGGACGTCCTCGTGAACCAGCTCGTTGACAAAGGGGCCAATCAAGGATGGTCCCCAGCTGTGTTCTTCGAACGGCATCGTGGGGATGAGACGTCGTATGCTCGACTTCGTGTGACAACGGCTGTCGAGCATCTTCCAATCGGTGCGGGCGTGCCGCCCGCTCCCGTGGACTCAACCGTGGGCTCGGAGATAGCAGCGCCTACGGCTGGGTCTGAGACTATCGTCACAGCTGGTGCAAACACGAAGGTCAGGGATTGTTGAATGATTATTGGGCCACCAAGCACCCACGATTTCGGGTGTTGTAGGAGTGTTGTGCTTCAGTGTGGTTTGCCCGTAAATGTGTTGTGTGTGTGTGTGGTTTGGGGTTGGGGCCGTGAAGGTGTATCAGACGGAGCTCGTTTGTGGTGCATTGTTCACGCGTGAGGGTCACGCGCAGGCGCTGCTTGTGACGTTCGAGCTGATGCAGCCTCTTTGCACCCTGGACAGATGCAAGGCCGATGTGTATGCCCACATGTTTGCAGATATATCGAACCTCGTGCCTGCAGCTTCTCGGTTTCGACGACGACAGCGGCTCTCCATAACAGATGGTGATTTGGCGTTGAACCTAGCAGAGCGGGCTTTGCGACATCGGTCACCATCTGATCTCATTGGTTGCCTCCACATCAAGTGCTTGGTCCACAGGGTCGCGCATGTGATTGGGAAGCCGACAAAGACGATTCGACCTTGGATCACTGGCATTGTGAGGTGGAGCTTGTCGCTGCGAGGGCCCAATTACTTCTTGTCGTTCGTGGGCATCATGTGCGGGTGGCTGGCTCAGAACTTGGATTACAGGTACGAGGATCACCCCGTTGGCCCTGGCATGGATGCAGATCGCTACAGAGAACACGTTTACAACGCATTCTTGCCGAGCGAGGGTGACACGAGATACCAGAGAGTTCGGCGGCACATCATCACTACCATGGCGAATGGCGACATCCGTGCGCGCGGCACTTTCCAGCACTACTGCAGAGCAGGCTGCTGCCAAGATCGCCCGCATTGCCTTCGAAAGCTGCAGAGACGGTTCGTTCGATCACTTGCAGGGCGGTTGCCACCGATCTTTCCGAGGTCGAGGTGGACGCGCGTGCTGGATTCCGTGGACTACTTCGGCCTCTTGGAGGCCATCCACGGGATGGGCAGCGACATCTACGCGCGCTGGTACGAGCACATCACTGGCAAGAAGGTTGCCGTGCGTGAACGGCGGTTCCCAGATTTCTTGGCACAGGGCGTCGAACTCGGATGTCCCTGCCCCCAGTGTCTTGGCACGGACCTCCGATGTTGGCACCTTGTTGAAGAACTCTGAGGGCCGTCGCTCATGCAAGGTTGACGCTGGCAACGCGAGCTGCGCCGCCGAAGGTGACGCCTCCGACGCTGAGCCTGGCGGAGCCGACGCCGAGGCAAGCGCGGTCGGAGATGAGCCTGGGGAGAGGTTGTCCAAGCTCATCGCGGAGGCCGACGTCGACGCGAACGACGTGGCGCAGATGGCGTCCAAGCTTCAGCAGCGAGTTTTTCGGCAGAGCGGCTTGGCATTTGTGCTGAACCCTGCGTCTTTCATCACTGCGATCGTGTTCAGGAGATGTCTCACTCCCGTTTTCGACATGATGCACTACGTCTTCAAGTTGTCAGCAGAGAAATGGGAAAAAGAGCAGCAAGCACGAGCAACGCATGGACATGGTCGGGTGCATCGGGTATCACTAGCAGCTGATGGGGCTATTCAGCGCAGGGCCGTGGACAAACTTGTATCTGTTGCCAAAGACGTCAACGGGTGGACGGTGCTGTGCTACACCGCGCGCACGCTGGAGAGCCAGACGACGATTTTCAAGTTTATCAGCTCCCTGGGCGCCTTGATCCACCTGCACATCACCAGCGAGCACGAGAAGTACCCGTTCAAGACCTTCGCCATGCTGGATGACCCTGATGGCCTCGAGGCCGCGTTCGGCAAGGCTCTGCCTATCGCGCGGATTCGAAAGCCGTTGTCGGCCCCCACGGCCCCCGTTGCAAATCTACCAGTTCCGAGGTCGAAAAAAACATGTTCGGG